AACCCTTGTGGGCCATAGGGTCTCCCAAGATTTCTGAGGTGAGGTCCCTGCCTTCCAGCAGCTTATGTGGTGAAGGAGAAATAAAATAATCACCACACAGAGTAGAGGGGTGAACCAGGTGCTGTGAAAGGGACCTGTGTCTCTGGGAGTCAAAGATGGCTTCATGGAAGAGGGGACACTGAAGGACAGGTAGTTTTTTAGATTGACTGTGAAAGTATCTCCTTCCTTGGAAGGCAACATCCCCGACCTGGGAATCACCTAAGCTGGGGCCTGAGAGCTGCCACCAGGTGGGATGGAGACAAAGCTGCAGGGCAGGAGTCCCTCCCATGTTGTACTACACTGAGGATTCCAGAGGCTGTGGTCTTGGCAAAGAGCGCTGGTTGCTCCTGCCAGGTCTGGCAGGCTCTGTCACTGGCTGGGGAGGAAGCAGTCAGGAGAGCCAGCTAGGCAGAAGGTGGCCAGGACTGAGAAATTCAAAGCCCCACAAGGGCTTAGATGGTAGCTGTCAGGCAGTTCTGAAAAGGGACCAACTGTTCAGTCAACCTGCATTTCCTGAATATCTGCTCTGGGCCTGCTGCAGTGCCAGACGCAGGGATTAAAGAGAAGAATGAGACCCCAGCCTTGTCCTAGGGCTTTGAAGAGCCTAATCTCCTCTTGGTTTAGCCATTTGGAGCTAGAAGGAGAAGCTGCCATTTTTAGACTCCTAGAATATCTTGGCTAAGAGGCTTCTTAAATCTTGCTGATTGTATCACTGAAACAGTAGTGAAAGTGGGCTCAGAGAAGGGCAGACACTGGCCTTGGATCACGCAGCAGGTCAGTGGCAGATCTGGGGCTAGCATCTACGTCTCCAGCAGCCCAGTCCTCAATGCCCACCACGATCCCTTAATACTTTAAGAGCAGATTTTGAATCTGCTTACCAGCAGAGTTGGGCTGTGGGGAGCTCTAGGTGAAGAGGGTGGGAGAGGCAGACCTGTGACTCTGGACCTGGCTGCTGTTGATAGCAGGATGGTTAAGTGTGTGGGCTTTGAAGTCTGAGAGACGTGGGTACGAATCCTGGTTCTGTCACTTTCCAGCTGTGTGACCTTAGTTTCTTCATCTGGTAAATAGGGACTTGAACTGACCTCAATGGGCTTTTGTAGGAACTGAATGAGCCGATGCATGCAATGCCTAGCACAAAGCGGCTGTTATTGTTTCCACCTCCTTTCCCCGGGCACCTCGGGCTCTGCACAGATGGAGACTGCCCCGGCGGTCTCCGAGGGTGTGAACCCCAGAGAGGAGGCGCGGAGTCCGTACCCGGGACCCCAACCCTGGCTGGAGCAAGACTATCTAGCCCAAACAGGGACTCCCCGAGGACTGCGTCCCGCAGCACCGCCAGCGCTACAGGCGCACAGCACAATCTGGGGCCGTGGGACTCTCGGTGCCATCGCCCCCGCCTCGCTCTGGAGCCGCCCTCAAGCCTGCCATCTCCCCGCGGCCGGCGTCCGCTCACCTGCCTCCCTACGGGCTCCGAGCCGCTGCTCCCGCCACCGCAGTCTCCCGCTCTAGTCTCCGGGGCCCACGTGAGGGCGGGAGGCTCACCCGGAAGCAGCTCCCTCTCGCCCCGCCCACTCCAGTCCAGGCCACGCCCCTTGCGGGCAGTCTCCGAGGGGGCTGGTCCGCTCCGGCCGCGGCCCCGCCCACATACGTCGGGCTCCAGGCTGGGCCAGTTGGGTGTGCGGAGGGGCTGGAGGGCCCGCCTCTCCCCGCGCCAGGGGCCCCAGCGTGGGCCTGGGCAGGCCGGAGGGAGCCCACGTGGGGGCGCGGGAGCCCACGCCGGAGGCGGTCACAGCCCTGGGTTCACTTCACAGTCGTCCTCTTCCCAGCCTAGAGCAAACTTGGCGCCGGTTGGTTGTTTGGTGAAAGAATAATTGGACGTGAAGGACATTAAAACAACACCGTAATGCCTAACACAATAGCTACGTCCATTTTTGCGGACTGAGCGTTTTAAAGTTGTTTAGTTCAGCAGCAGACTTTCAAGTTTTCAGAGAAAATTTATTCCAGCGCAATTACACAGGGCCTTCTCTGTGCCATCAGTTGGGAGACGTGATGTAAAAGACATGGGCATTTAGACAAACTCCAAACTCCAAGTTTGCTAGGGGCATCAGACCTGTATCTGTGATGGGTACCGTGAGCGAGCTGACCAAAGGTCTGGGGGCGGTGGGATTGGAGCAGAGTATGTTCACAGGCAGGAGGGATCTGGTTGGTGAGGCTTACAGGGCCTGGGTAAACGGGCAGGATTGCATGGGTGAAGTGGGGTTGGGGGATCATCACCCTAGCAAAGGAATGTCTTTGAAAAGTTTCTTCAGGGATTATTGAAAAATGGACGTGAGGATGCCAGTGGGTTGCATTACATTTATTCTTGGATTTTGTTTCTCAAAATCTGTACCCCAAACCTGTTGTATACTTTTTTATATTTTAAGGGGCCTAGTGGCTTAGAGCTAGGGAAATATGACACTAGTTAGTTCTCAGCTACTAGAGTTCTGATCTGTGCTCAACAAGGAAGGAGGTGGAAAGGAAGTAATGTACGATGACCAAAGGGATTTCTTGGGGGGCTGATAATGTTTATCGAGCCAGGTGTGGGTTACATGGATGTGTTTAGATTGTGAAAATTCATCAAGTTCTATACTTATTTGCACCCTTTGGTATGCATATTATACTTTTATAAAGAAAACTATTCTGAGCAGGTACATGACATTGTGCTAAATACCATGAAGAGCATAAAAACAAACAAGACAGAAAGCAGATCAATAATTGCTAGAGCCTGGGGGAGGGAAACATGGGAGTAACTGTTTAATGGGTACAGGGTGATGAAAATGTTTTGAAACTAGATAGAGATAATGGTTGCACAACATTGTGAGTATACTAAATGTTACTGAATTGCTTATTTAAAAATGGTTTTATGTTCTGTGAATTTCAATTAAAAGAGTTCACTAACTGCAATGTGGTATTCTAGATTGTATACTATAACAGAAAAACTGGTAGTAGAAAAACTGGAGAAATACAAATAGTCTGGTATTTAATTAAAAGTTTTTCTTGGTCAGGCGCTACAGCTCACGCCTGTAATCCTGGCACTTTGGGAGGCCAAGGCAGGAGGATCGCTTAAGGCTAGGAGTCCAAGACCAGCCTCAGCGGGACCCTATCACTACAAAACATAGAAAAATTACCTGGGTATGGTGGCACACACCTGTAGTTCCAGCTACTTGGGAGGTGGAAGCAGTAGGATTGCTTGAACCCAGTAGTTTGAAGTTGCAGTGAGCTATGATGATGCCACTGTACTCTAGCCCCGGCAATAGAGTGAGACCCTGTCTCAAAAAAAAAAAAAAAAAAAAAAAGTTTTTTCTTAAACGGGGCAGTGGCTCACACCTGTAGTCCTAGCTACTTGGGAGGCTGAGTCAGAAGGATCACTTGAGCCCAGGAGTTCCAAGCTGCAATAAGTTATGATTGTGCCACTGTACTCCAGGCTGGGCAACAGAATGAGACCTTGTCTCAAAAAAAAAAAAAGAAAAAAAGTTTCTTAGTTTTGACAAATGTACCAAAAGTTTATTAAAAAATAAATAAAATAGGAGTGAGGCTGATGGCCACTGGAATAGGCTCCTGGTTTTCATAAATTAGTGTTAAGTTCTTGAGCAAGTCACTTCTGTTTGAAAAGCCTCAGTTTCCCAATGGTAAAAATAGGGCATTAAAAGTAAAAGTAGTTTTCAATGGGTTTGGATTGGAACCCTCCCATTTCCTAAATCAAGATCAGAATTTCTGGGTGTGAAGGGCCATGGTTAAAAAATTAGAAATATTATCTTAGCCTTGTAAGGAACCTTCGAAATCTAGATAGCACTACAGTAACTACCTCTGTTACTGTGGTTGGGAAAAACTGTGGATGACCTCAAAGATTCTTCCCGATTGTTAAAATCTGTGATTTTAAGTCACAGTCCCTATTCTTAGGAAATGTTTTTCTTAGGGAATCAAATGTTGGTGAGGAATAGGGCAGGATGAACTAAAGCCATGTGGAAAGAGTTCTTTGGGGGATTCATTCACACACACACACATTTTTTTAAGCCAGTAAAATTTAGTAATGGGGGCTGTATACCAACTTTAGTGAAATTAATAAGTTCTGATAACCCACTATTAAACCAGCCTGGATTCATTCTTGACTATAGCATACAGCCTTATGTTAGAGTGGCAGATTAAAATAGATGGTAGGGTGAGCCCTCCTTATGCAGGCTTTGAATAATAGAGTTAAGTATGGATGTAATTTAATAAGAAGCAGGGAGGGACATAGCAATGTTCCAGGAAGCAGTGTTCTGGAAACCAGTATGCTAGGATACTAGGGAAAGGAGAGGTGAGTCAGGGAACTGAGCTCAAAGGAAGCTACATGAGTCCAGATAGGACTTGAGGGCTTAGCCTAGAGTGATGCTTATGGGAATTTGGAGAAGGAAAAAGCCACTAGATCTAATGACTATTGGGGTTACATCTTTCTGAAATGTTATTTATCAATTTGATTTATGACTTGAAAAGCCATGTAGAAGTAATATTGCATTGTTGTTAAGAGATAATTGAGGTAATGGTAATGCTACTTCATAGGGTTTCAGAGTTAATACTTGAAAGCATTTAGAACAGTGCCAGACACACCAGGGATTCAATAAATGGGGTTGCTGAGAATCTAGTGTTCATAGGGTACCCAGCAGAGCCATCAAAAGCTCTTGCTGTGGTTTGGAACCCTTGCCTGCCTGTGTATGAGCAGCATCTGCTGGTCATCCAAGGTGATGCAGGAGCCCACATTTACAAATGTCTGGTTCAGCTGACACCCCGAAACTATATGGAGCGTGATCAAAGTTTCTCTCCAAAAGCATACTACAAACAAGCAGGATGAAATGGGAGGCATCACTTTTAACAAGAATGTTCTTTATTTGTACAAAGCATTATAATCTGAACATTCTTCATTCATCTATCAACAAACTTTTCACTGTATTCATTTAACAAATTAACAGTGTCAAACTACACTTCACTACCTGTCAAACTCCAAGCGCTCAACTTAGAGACAAACAAAAAAGTGCTTGGAGTACTGAATGTAAAGAAAAAGGCTAAGGAAGGCCAACAGAGATACTTTAGAAGCAGTTAAAGGGGATGTTTGGGAGTGGGGAATTAGATTCCTGAGCACCATCAGATTTCCCTTAAGGTTTAGAGGAGTTTCATAAAATCATTTTTAAAAGACATGAGATTAGAACTAAGGAATCAGAGGAACTTGCACTCTGAAATATCAAGCAGGTAAACAAAGTTCCTAGACTGACAGTAGATAAAAGGAAAGAGAGAAGAAAAGTGAGGATGGGGAACAGGGGAGAGGCAGAAGAGAGACAGGAAGCAACAAGCACAGAGAGAGAAAGTTGTGCCTCGAGGAAATAAAGTTTGGAACTCATCATGAATTGAAGAATGAAAAGCCATAGTCACAAGTCTGGGAGACGGACTGTAAGAAGAGAAAGCCTGGATTTTACACCTTCCAGGAGGTGTCAATAAATCCTAAAACTTCATGTTAGGCAGGCAGTGAGGTATACCTAAGATTAAACCATCTGTTTTATAAAAGTAAGACATTAGCACCTTTGCTTGACTAATTCCAATCTACACTGCTGATTTAAGAGCCTGTGTACCCAGAGTGCAGCCACTCTAGCAGGTCAGATGTCTATATGCAACACAAAAGGGCTCCCAGCCAAGTGGGTCTATAGAAAACAAAATTCAATTAATGCTACTGTCTAGTGGAGAGACAACAGAGTTCATTATTTTCCCACAGCTTTTTAGTAGTTTCCTAAAATTTTATTGTTCTGAACACTCTTAATAAGCTACTATTGCCAAACACTGTACAATCAAATATAGGCTGACCATGATCAAAGCCCCAATTTTCCTGAGCCTTGACTGCCTCTGTGATCTGGAACACAGCAGGCAGCATGGAAGTTATTATTACTTTTTGAGGGGAGCAGGGGGACTGGGATCAAAACCAACCTAACCATACGTATAAGTAAACAAGAGTGATCCAACTGACTAATTAGCCATTCAGAATCCCTCTTGCCAAAAAGTCATAACCTTCAGACTGATTGAACAAAACAGGATTCTGCTACTCAGATGCTTTGAGTTTGGGAAGTGCTGTTTTTGGCGATAATTCTAGTCAGTTTTTATTTTGATCTTCTCAGGCACTTCTGCCTAAGACTACTCTGCCCGGCAGGGAAAAGCATCACAGAAACGTGTAGCAAGTCTCAGAGTGGTACCTTCCAAGGTGCCAGTCTCCCACCCTATTCAGTTGTCCACTTCCTCTTCCTCATTCTGTTCTTCTTCTTCCAGCCTTTCCTCATCTTCATCATTGTCCTCATCCCTGCTCTTGTCTGGCTCTTCCGAATCCGTTTTTTTGTCTCTGTCCTTCTTCTTTTGCTCTGAAGCTTCCTTCTTGCCCTTCTGCTCCCGCCTATATGCTGCAAGGAGAAGAAAGGGGTTAGGAGGGAGGGCTGGAAGAGTGAACCAGATGGACTTCAGCATCTAACCCCATGGACAGTCAGAAAAACCAGGACACAGAAGGTAAAATAACCTGGCCAGCATCATAAAACAGATGTAAGGTGGTGTCGACTGGACTGGGTCGAATCACGTCCAGTACTAGCTTACTGGACTTAAAGGGACCCACGCTGAGAAAGCCTCAGGGCCAAGTGAACAGGTCACATAGGATGACCATCTTCTGCACGGTTGAGAGGATGGGCGGTCATTACCTTCCAGAGCTTCTTTCAACGGGGTAACAAACCGCTGGAACTCCATCTCCTCCATGGCTGAGAGCACATCACTGGCATTCAGTGTCTTGCGCTTCCCTTTCATTGCAAAGTTGTTGGCACTGAAAGAGACAGGGCCGGGAGAGGCTGTCAGACTCCCTCCTGCCGCGTACGGAGTGGGGAAAGGCGCACCAGCGGTGGGATGGGAAAGCCTACTCCTCACATGCACAAATGTTTGTCAGACAGGGTTAAGTCCCTCCCTCCTCTGTACAAAAGGGCTAAAACAAAGTTATTTTGGTGTTTTATTTTGCTTCAGAGCTTGTAACAACTAGCAGAGGCCTCTGAACCTCTCCGCACTGAGGTAGGACACAAGGACTGGGTTTTGTGGGCTCCAGGCGACGAACTCCAAGCTAGGCGTTCTCTCTGCGCCTCGCTGACGTCTCTGCCCAGCTCACCAGGACGTGGCGTACAGCACGAAGACGCTGGCGGCGCGGGAGATGGCGCTCCGAGCCTCCTTGGAGATGTTGACGCCGTCCGGGAGCTGTGAGGAGAGCGGGGGTGAGCAAAGCTGCCGGCCCAGGACCTGCTTCCCTCCTGCTTGCTCGTCCGCCCCCCAGCTAATCCTCCAGCCCAAGCTGCTCACCGCCTCCTTGATGATCCTGGTGATGACGGCGTTGGGCAAGTTTAGATCCTCCGGTCTTTCCGCCATTGCCGCCGCCGGGGCCGAGCCTCTGCCTCAGGCCTCCTCTTTGGGCAGCTACCGCGTCCAGACTTCCCGCGTCGCTGCAGTCTGACCCTCCTAGGCTTCCGTCCCGCCCTACGTTGCCGATATTGCGGCCCATAGTGCCCCGCGCGCCATATCCTTCCGCCTCCACAGCCCCGCCTCCGCCTCAAATTGCAGGTGCATCCGAACTTTCCACGCCCCAGAGATTTGGGCCCGACCGAGTGTCCGTCCAGCGCCACCGTACCCTGCATGTCTCTTCCCAGGTCTGTTTCTCTGTTTCACGCCATCGCCACTTCTGGAACTTTCTCACCAATTAATTTGGCTCACTGGGGCTTCCGTCCGTTTCCCATAGTGCTCTGCGCCGCTGCTTGGCGACGACGCGGCCAGGCTGCTATCGAGGGAGACAAAGGCGTGGACTGAACCCGCTGGGCCGGCACAAGAGGCTGGGTCCAATGGGCGGGGCCCACCACCTGGAGCCCCGTTAACGCCCCAGCTTCGGAACCCTACCGGTTTTTCATCTGCTTTGGTCGGCGGCCCTGGGGTGGCCGGATTCACACTCTCGCCTTTTTTTTTCTTTTCCGTTTTCTGGAATGAAGCGGAGAATCTTTTTCCAACACTGCCGAAGCATATGTCCATTTTTAATCTTTTCGCTCCTCACAACTTTGTAATAAGGGTATTAAGGATAAGTGTTATCTGGGTTTTTTGTTTTTGTTTTATAACGCTATTTTGCTAGCACAATGCTAATTTTGGCGATATACATTATGCACCTGATTAGACCTCGGGACTCAATTCGGGCTGGGCAGGTGACGAAAGGGCGAGAAGCAGCCAGTTGTCAGAATAATGTGAATTCGCATTCAAAAACAAACCCTGTTAAAATCGTAGTTATTTTTTAATTCATTAAATTGTTCATTGTAGATCTTTTCCAGTCACATTCATTCTGGAAATTTTGCAATGGTGTTGGAAGTTGTATAATTTTTATATTGAGTACTTGGAAATTTTCACTCCCACTGAGGACTGATGCTTTTTTCCTTTGAAACATGCTGTCTCAAGTCGCCCTTTCGTTTTCCTGCTTTCAATAGAGACATGACTACAGAGAAATATTTCCCTGTTAGGAGGAAACAACAGAGCAAATGCTATGATAAATGACAACTGAAACTGTTCAGTTAGATACTATAAGGTCTAGTGGAGGAACTCCGCTTGGATAGAGCTACTGTAAACACGTTAGGAGCAACTCAGCTCCAGCCAATTGCTGTCTAGCTGGAATTGGGCCCAGTGTTGTCAGATATTTTGATCTCTAAAAGCCAGAAATATGAATATTATGAACTATTTAAATTTTGAGATATTGCTTCAAAGTGCCAGCCAAACAAAACAAGTCATAGGCCAGGTGCACTCCCAGGCCAATAGTTTGCTATCTTTGATCTAAATTACAAACCGTTTAGAAGAGGGAGTTTGTTCATTACTGTTCTCTGTGTCCAAAACGGGTCCCCTCACGTATTTGGTAGTCAGTAAACTTGTTGAATAAAAGAAGAAATGGACACTGTCCTTAAAAAGTTGTTAGGGATAAGGTGATAGAGGTGGCCTAAAACATCTCTCGAGAGGAAAAGATGATAGTATTTGTTGAGCACCTATCATACATAATAGTACATTATCTTATTTAATCCTTCTGCAATCCTACTTAGGATTTCCTTTCCCCTACTTTATATGAGGAAACAGGCCAAGGGAGGCGAAGTCACTTGGCCAAGGCCATACAGCCAGTAAATGAAAAGTTAATGGCCTGCAGTGCAGCTGGAAGTCTACTGATTTGCTGTTTGAGCAAACCCATTCATTGCTGGCGGGTGTTTTATCTGCTTGCATGGGAATTGAAGCACATCGAAAAATGAAACTTATCTTCCAAAAATTTAAGCCTGCAAATAATGTAGGTATTTCTGCATTGGTTGTAATGTGATAAGACCTTTTGGAGACGGTGGCATCTTCTCTCTAATGATTACTGAAGGAGAAAAGGAATGGATGCTAATATTTATTTTAAACTATATGCCAGGCTTTTAATATCCATTAACTAATTTTTGTAATGACTTTGTGAAATAGAAATATCCCCATTTTAGAGATGAGGAAACAAAGAGGCTTAGATTGGTTAAGTTCCAGGTCACTCAGCTATTAAATGGACTATTTGGAGACCTGAAGTCAATCTGCTCCCAGACTCTTGCCATTCTACCTCATGCTGAATTGTTTTCATACTTACTTGTTACCCAATCCTTAATTATTCTGTGACCACCTTTACTTATATAGGTTCAATAGAAATATTTTAAGCTTTGAGTCCAAATTGTGATCTGGATCACATGGCTTATTATAATACTCCCTAATTATGTGATTATTGATTCTCCAGAGGGCTAGAAAGCTTCAGGGTTGGCCTCTGTCCTAAACCATTTATAGCTATGGACTTACCAGATGACAGCCAGTGGGACGAAACCACCTGTAACTTGGCTATTTGCCAGCATCCACAATGCTGGGCAACTATCCGCCGGATTGAGAGGGGCCATCCTCGAATCCTGGGCTCACCCTGCAAAATTCCCCTGGATGATGAAGGTGAATTGGGCACCCTCTGTTCTCTTCCTCACAAGGTCTTTAGTTCCGTTTGGTTCCCTTTCTCTAGGCAACATATTAACATGTTTTCTTCTGATCTGCTTTCTCAGATAAACTCCCAGAGCTCACCGTTGTAAACATGTCAGATTCCTGCTCCTTTCCTCGTCATTTATCAGAATTTACTTTCACTAAAGCTCATTCTTTATTGTCTCGTGGTTCAAAGTTTAACTCCAAATTTCAAGGCAGGTAAATTATCATGGAATCTTCTTTAACAGCCTATTGCCTCAAAAGTCTGGGTTATGATTTCCCTTACTCATGTAGTAGACTTGAGAAAGCTGGATTAAAAAGAAAACACAAATTCAGTTAAATAAATGAATAGGCCATGGAAAACAAAAATAAAACATTCCTGATCTGGTCTAGGAGTTGGTTAATTTGGTGGTGGTGCTGGGGTGTATTGGGTTGCCAGGGCTGCCATAACCAGGTACCATAGACTGGGTGGCTTAAACAACAGAATTTATTTTCTCACAGTTCTGGAGGCTGAAAGTCAAGATCAAAGTGTCAGCAGGGTTGTTTTCTTCTGAGGCCTCTCTCCTTATAGATGGCAATTTTTTCCCTTTGTCTTAACATGGTCTTTCTTCCATGTTTGTCTGTGTCCTAATTTGCTCTCCTTATAAGCATATCAGTCATATTGGGTTAGGGCCCACCAATATGACCTCATTTTACCTCAACTGAACTGGGTTAACCAGTTCAACAGATGAATTTTAGGGTGACGCAATTCAGCCTATCTTATCAGCTTCTATAGGTTATCAGAAAACTGTGTCCACACATGCCCCCTTTCTTTCTATTTTCTTTCTTTCTTTTCTTACCTGCCCCGTGTTTCTTTCTCTTCTCTTCTCTTTCTTCTCTTTTGACGGAGTCTTGCTCTGTTGCCCCGAGTAGAGTGCAGTAGTGTCATCATGGTTCACTGCAACCTCATACTCCTGGGCTCAAGCAAACCTCCTGCCTCAGCCTCCAAAGTAGCTGGGACTATAGGCATGAGCCACCATGCCTGGCTAATTTTTTTATTTTTTGTGGAGACTTGCTTTTGCTCAGGCTGGTCTTGAACTCATGATCTCAACGGATCCTCCCACCTCAGCCTCCCAGAGTGCTAGGATTACAGGTGTGAGCCACTGCACCTGGTCTGCTCTCACCATCATTTGACCTTGTATCTTGTTTCTTCATTTCTTCTGTTCTGAAGTGATTTTTGTTGATTTGTTTCCCTCCTCTCATTAGAATATCACTTCTACCAGAGCAGGGACTGTGTGTGTTTTGTTCACTTTTCTATCTCCTATCCCTTCAATAGTGCATGGCATATGGTGGAAGCTCAATAAGTATTTGTTGAATAAGTGAATATGTCCTCATTCTCTGATGAGTTTCCTCATTTACCACTAGCCCTGGGTGCTCTCCCTTCCAAACTGGCCCAGCACTTATTGTCTCTAGCATGCTTACTGATATTTTTATGCCTATGTCCTGTTTGCCCAAGTGGATTTTAGGCCCTTTGAAGGCAGGGGCCATGGCATCATTCATTTAGTCATTCAATTCACAAATATTAATATTTTAGTGGGGGCCACTGTGTTGGACACAGTCTTTACTCTCAAGGGGCTTTTAGCCTATTTGGGGAAGCAAATAAGCAAGCAGGAACCATCTGGCATGATGAGTGTTGTGAGAGGAAATGCCCCCCAGCTGTGTGGAAGCACCAGTAAATGTTCCTTACGCAGCGTACTGGCTTCTGTATAAGTGGCATCTGTGCCTAGAACTGAAATCTGAGCAGTCTAGTGAAGTGAGAGTTGTAGGTGGAAGGTGGGCAGAAAGAGTTCTAAACTATAGGAATAGCATATTCAAAGTCCTGGAGGCAAGAGGAAATTTTTTAGGTATCAGGAAAATAGTTCATTGTACCTGGAACGTAGAGCAGGAATGGAAGAATGGTCAGAGATGAGGCTGGGGCGCTGGAGTAGAAATAGAAAGCAGGTGGGGATGGGTACACCGAAAGCCCTGACTTCAGCATGATACAGCTCATCCATGTAATGAAAAACACTGTACCCCCTAAATTTTTTGAAATAAAAAAAAAAGAGAAAGAAAGCAGGGCTTACTTCATAAATCAGGCTGAAAATTGGGTCTTTATCTTATACTTCTTTGCATTATTCATCATTTATACATGTAACATGTTTTTTTAAAAATAGCAAGTGATATGAAAATATAAAGCGATGGGTTTTTTTTATTGTGGTAGATATACATAACAAAAACGGACTATTTTAGCCATTTTTGAGTGTACTATTCATTGGCATTAAGTACATTCAGTGTGCAGCCATCACCACTATGTGTAACATCCATCACATCTGGAAATGGAAAAATCCATTTCTAGAACTTTTTCATCATCTCAGACAGAAACCGTATCCATTAAACAATAACTCCCCACTTCCTCCTCTTGTCAGCCCCTAATCTCTGTTCTATTTTCTGTCTCTTTGAATTTGCCTATTTTAGGTACCTTATATAAGTGGAAGCATACAATACTTGTCCTTTTGTGTCTGGCTTAGGATATGTATGTAGTATAATGTTCAGCTATATTTTAACATGAACATTAGTCACCCCTTATCTGCAGGGGTTACATTCCAAGACCTGTGGAGTGCATGCCTGAAACCACAGATAGGAGTGAACCCTATATATACACACACACACTATTTAGGTCATTAAATATGAAATGTCCGATTCCGAATCAAAAGTTTAGTTTATTATATTGTAAACAAGAAGTAATACAGTTAATCAAAGTATGCGCCTAAACTATCAACACAGTTTTGCCATTTTTTTTTTTTTTTTTGAGACAAAGTCTCACTTTGTTGCCCTGGCTAGAGTGAATGCCGTGGCGTCAGCCTAGCTCACAGCAACCTCAAACTCCTGGGCTCAAGCAATCCTACTGCCTCAGCCTCCCAAGTAGCTGGGACCACAGGCATGCGCCACCATGCCCAGCTAATTTTTTCTGTATATTTTTAGTTATCCAGATCATTTCTTTCTATTTTTAGTAGAGACGGGGTCTCGCTCTTGCTCAGGCTGGTTTCGAACTCCTGAGCTCAAACAATCCGCCCACCTTGGCCTCCCAGAGTGCTAGGATTACAAGCGTGAGCCACTGCACCCGGCCTACAGTTTTGCCATTTTAAGGGTAGCTTGTTTATGCCAGCAGTGAAGAAGCCTGGAGAGCGAGTGGTGATGAAATCACGAAAGATGTTTTCCACAGCTTGTTGAAAATTGAATATTTTTCCTTGCAAGTAGTGGTCCAAAGCCTGGAAGAAGTGGTAGTCAGTCGGTGCAAGGTCTGGTGATGGTGGAAGACAGAGAGTTTCCAAGTCCAGCCTCTGTAGTTTGAGCAGCATTGGTTTTTGCAACATGTGGTCTTGCAAGAGGATTAGCCTGTCTCTATTGACCAATGTCAGCTGCTTAATTGGAAGCATCCTGATCATCCAATTGGTTGCAGTAGACATCCACTGTAATTGATTGATCAGGTTTCATGAAGGTGTTGTGGATAATATCAGCGCTGGACCACCAAATAGACACTTATCTTTTTTGATGAATATTTGGTTTTGGACTGTGCTTTGGCACTTTGTCTTTATCCAACAATTGTGCTGAATGCTTGCAGTTGTCAAAAAGAATCTATTTTTCATCACACGTTAACAATATGGTGGAGAAATGGTTCACCTTTATGTTGTGACAGCAAAGAAAGGCAAGCTTTGAGACAATTTCTGACACATTTAATTCATGCGGTACCCATCTGTCTAGCTTCTTTACCTTGCCAATTTGTTTTAAATGGTCCAATATTGTTGGAATAGTAACGTCAAACCTTGCTGCTAATTCATGCATAGGTTGAGAGGGATTCGCTTCCACTGCAGCTTTCATCTTATCATTATCCACCTTGGTCTTAGGTTATCCACATGACTCATTTTCTTTTTTTTTTTTTTTATTTCAGCATATTATGGGGGTACAGATGTTTAGGTTACGTATGTTGCCCTTGCCCCCCCCCCGCATGACTCATTTTCAAGACTAAAATCACCAAAATGGAACTTCTCAAAACATCAGTGTACTGTGCATTCATTAGCCACATCCTTCCAAAACACTTTGATGATATTTTGAGCTGTCCACACTGCATTGGTTCCATGATGGAACTCATATTCAAAAGTAACACAAACTTTTGACTTATCCATGGTTTCACAAAAATTGCTCTAAAAAAATGTGAAAGATAATCACAAGCCAAAATGTGCTTTTGAAAGACTGAGGCTGTACCTTCAGAATAGGAAAAAACCCCAAGAAATGTCAAAATGAAATGTCAGAGATATCAACTGTCAAACTCAATACTTAATGAAATTGGACATTTCATACTTAATGACCTAATATGTTTTTCCCTATGGATATCTGTGATACAGTTTAATTTATAAATTACGCAGAATAAGAGATTAGAAACAATAATAATAATAATTATACTGTTATAAAAGTTATGTGAATATGTGGTCTCTCAAAATATCTTAAAATATCTTATGGGTACTCACCTATCTTCAGGCTGTGGTTGAACATTGGTAACTGAAACCACAGATAAAGAGGGACTACTGTATCAGAATTTCCTTACTTTTTAAAACTGAATAATATTCTCTTATGCATATATACTACATTTTGTTTATTTAACATGTTTTAAGCATCTACATTAAAGGTACATAATAAACTTTTTTTTTTTTTTTTTTTTGAGACAGAGTCTCACTCTCTTGCCTGGGGCGAGTGCCGTGGAGTCAGCCTAGTTCACAGCAACCTCAAACTCCTGGGCTCAAGCGATCCTACTGCCTCAGCCTCCCGAGTAGCTGGGACTACAGGCACATGCAACTGTGCCCGGCTAATTTTTTCTACATATATTTTTAGCTGTCCAATTAATTTCTTTCCATTTTTTGGTAGAGACGGGGTCTCGCTCTTGCTCAGGCTGGTCTCGAACTCCTGAGCTCAGAACGATCCGCCCGCCTCGGCCTCCCAGAGTGCTAGGATTACAGGCATGAGCCACTGCGCCCGGCCTCATAATAAACTTTTATTGATGGTGATGTAATTATCTCTAGCTGGAGAGAGAGGTGTAGGCTATGAATTCAGTTTGATGCAACAGATAGTTGTGAATTATGCGCAGTGTGTAATACCTGTTTAGGAGCTGATCCAGGAAAAACAAACAAAACTTAAGGATATGGTGAGACCCTATATTCCTTTGGTAGGTATTAAGCCCAAGGTTTTCTGTAGATAAGTAGAAGGGTTTTCCTTATAGCACTAACTTTATCATCACAATAAAATAAGTCTTTGGTGTCTCTGTTTTATGTTTGGAACTCTCATTTTTTAGGCCTCAGAAAGGTTTACCTGACAGAAGTTTGATCAACAGTACTAATAGATCTCCCAAAGTAAGTCACAGATTTAAAAAGGTACTTCTTCAGTATTTTCTCTGTACCAGTGGGAATAAAATATTTTGCCTTTATTTAACATTCCCCAGGATGACTATAATCTGAATAATAATGTCGATTATTTACTATGGGCCCTTATTATATGCTAGGCTCTGTGCTAATGGCTTTGCATGCTATGTTGTTTTCAGAAATTCCAGACACAGGTGGAGTTGATGTGTAGAGGTTTGGTGTAGGTGAGACTTTTCTGTTTCCTGCATAGAGCATGTTCAGCTACTAGGTAAACATTGTCATCTCATAATCAGGAAATTAGAATGCTGGGATTTCAGACATAAAATGGTACTTAAGGTCATCTAGTCTGATAACTTTCAAACTTCTAAAGCTGTGATCCATGGTAAGAAACAGATTTTATAACAAAAATATCATGGAATAATCCTTACCCTAACTATGGGTCATTTACTCTGATATTTTCTGTCCTGTTCTTTTTTTTTTTGTTTTTTTTTAAGACAGGGTCTCACTCAGGCTAGAGTGCAGTGGCATCATCATAGCTCACTGCAACCTCAAACTCCTGGGCTCAAGCGATCTTCCTGCCTCAGCCTCCCAAGTAGCTGGGACTGCAGGCACGTACCACCATGCCTGTATAATTTTTCTATTTTTTATAGAGACAGGGTCTTGCTCTTGCTCAGGCTGGTCTTGAACTTCTGGCCTCAAGCAATCCTCCTGCCTCAGCCTCCCAAAGTTCTAGGATTACAGGCATGAGCCACTGTGTCCCACGCTATTCTGTTTTTTCTGTTTCATTTTTAAGCAATGTGGGCTGTGATTCACAAAATTTGATTTTATGACCTATGAGTAAGTTGCAGTTGCAATTTGAAGAACATTACTGTGGTCTATCTTATATGTCTTACACATGAGGAAACTGAGGCCCAAACAGGAAGTGATTTGCTAAAGCACATAGTTAGTTGGGGCTACAGGTAAATTAGAACTTTAGGAAGAAAAACCCTCCTACTTACCTATGGGAAGTACTTTACCTATGGTAAAGACAGATTTACTATTCTTTGCAGTCCTACTGGATGCCTTTTTTTTTTTTTTTCATGAGATACTTCACTTGCAGTATCATGTGGTGGAAAGTGTAAGAAACTAAGAGACAGTTAGATAGGCTCAAATGGGATAAATGAACAAATCACTTTACCTCTTTAGAACAAGAGGATTAGATTATTTTTAAATTATTTCAATAGATAATACATGAACATGATTCTAAATTCAAAAGGCATAAAAGAGTTTACAATGAAAAGCAGTCTCTCCTGTTCCCCACCAGTCAGTTCCTTGTCCCAGGGCAACTTCATTTTTAAGTTTTGTTTTTTTTTTGTATTCTACCAGGAATATAGACTAGGTGATTTACAGGGTTTCCTTGAGCATTAGTGTTCTAGGATCCTAAATTGCTAAATGTGAAAAGAATTAGTACTTTAACTTTTATATAGATGCCTATAATTTAGATAGGCTATAAAAGTAGAGAACTTGCTTCTGTCTCTACCAATTTTCTCCCTGCTCCCAAATTGCTGATTATCTGAAGGGATCTAAGTCTTTGGAGTGTTGTGGGCAGGGTGAGTAGTGTTCTCCTTGCTTAGCCCCAACACACCCTTATTTGGGATGGGCTTGGGCTGAATGCCACCCTAGTGTAGCAGGAAAGCAGGGAAGATTATTTGCTTACAAATATTCTCCTTTTCAGAATACCTATACTGATATCTGATGATATAGTCCAGTTTTTTTTTGGAAAACATTATGAAGCTGTTTTAGGGATAGGAAATGTCTTTTTATCATCTTCTGAGCCACCAAACTCTTTGGTTAGCATGATGACTGAGTCCTTAGTCTGGTACAGGACCCTAGCACCTCAAGCCATATGTTGGCTTTATGTCTTCCTCTTAGCTTTCAGTGTTGAATTTGAATGAGACACAGCTTCCCTGCTCTAAAGATGTTAGAAATATGGTTGTCATCTGGATCCCAGAAGAATCAGAGAAGTATGTGAGGTAAGTATCATGTCTAGAACTTGGGAGCCATTGACTTTTGTAGTCTACAAACCCCTACTGTCCTCTGCCGACCTCCTTTTTGTCATCTCCCTTTTAGCCACCTCATTGCAAGTAGCAGGAGGCCAAGCAGAGAAATAGGTCATGGTCTCTTGCATCTACTTCTTAACTATGCTGGAATTTTATTTTAATGTACTTTGAGATTCATGCTGTGAACTTCTCTACATTGAATTCTACATGACAGTAAATAGCATACAAGATAGGGCCCAACTTGTTTGTAAGGTTTGATTAAGAAATAAATGTTTTCTATTAGTTTCTCTTTTAGCAGTTAGTAACTAGTGAAAAAGTTTTCAGGTGAAGCACATGAGTCTTTGTTCTCAACCCAAATCTGAGTACAGTGGTACAAAACGGATAGCATATAGGACTTGTGGACAAAGCAGAGCGTGACAAATCATTTGGTGAAGGCCCAAAGCTTGCTAATGTTGACAACCATGGGGAAAGTGTTTGGTTTTTCTTTCCGGATCATTGAAGCTTTCAGATTCTTGTTAAGTGACTGTTTACAGATGTCGAGACTTAAGAATTTCTTCTTATTTCATTTTGGTTTTCTTTGTAAAAAGTGATCCTATGAATGGTTCTTTATGTATGCATTTTTTGTGTATATATATGGTATAAACAAACAAACAACCCTAAGGGGTTATTTCCTGTCATGTAAAAGAAGCCCAGAAGAAGGCAAGCCAGGGCTAGTGTGTCAGTTCCATGAGATAATCAGTAACCAGGGCTCCTTTTAGCTTTCTGAGCCATCATCCTTAGTCCATGGCTGCCATCTTCCAAGGTGTTTCATGGGTACTTTTAAGGTCTAAGTTGGCTGCTAGAGCTCCAGCTGTCATAGCCATGTCCCAGGCAAAGAGGAGGAAGAGGACAGAACAGAAAATACTTCCTGAGCCCTTCCTTTGTGCTAAGCAATGAGGATCCATAGAGAAGCAAACAGATTTGGTCCCTGTCCTCTTGGAACATTATGCAGGGGAGTCAGATGTCACAAACATAATTGCACCTGAGTATATAATGTCTAATTTGGATTAATGCTATGAAAGTAAATAACTGCATTGTCTGAGTGAAGGATGAGAAACCTAATTTATTTTTATTTATTAAAAAATTTTTTTTGAGACCAGGCGCGGTGGCTCACGCCTGTAATCCTAGCTCTGGGAGGCCGAGGTGGGTGGATCATTTGAGCTCAGGAGTTCGAGATCAGCCTGAACAAGACTGAGACCCCGTCTCTACTAAAAATAGAAAGAAATTAGCTGACAACTAAAAACATATAGAAAAAATTAGCCGGGTATGGTGGCACATGTCTGTAGTCCCAGCTACTCGGGAAGCTGAGGCAGAAGGATTGCTTGAGCCCAGGAGTTTGAGGTTGCTGTGGGCTAGGCTGACGCCATGGCACTCTAGCCCGGGTGACAGAGTGAGACTCTGTCTCAAAAAAAAAAATTGAGACAGAGTCTTGCTCTGTTGCCCAGGCTGGAGTGCAGTGGCATGATCATAGCTCACTGCAACCTCAAACTTCTGGGCTCAAGCAATTCTCCCACCTCAGACTGCCAAGTAGCTGGCACTACAGGTGTGTACCACGATGCATGGCTAATTTTTAAATTTTTTATAGAGATGAGATCTATACTATGTTGCTCAGACTGGTCTCGAACTCCTGACCTCAAGTGATCCTCCTACCTCAGCCTCCCAAAGTGCTGGGATTACAGGTGTGAGCCGCTGAACCCTGCCTGAGAACCTAATTTAGATGTGAGGTTGGGGGATCTTTTTAGTGGTAAGACCTGAGCAGCAGGTACTGCTGATCTCCCCACCAGCTGCCTTTGAGTACTGATTACAGAGGAATCTTCGTGGTCATCATTCACAAATATCATCGGTGCTTCTATTTAAGATGTCTGGGAATAAGTTGTGTTTATTCTTATGTCAAGTCTAGCTGAGAAGCATGATTTTCCCAGCCAGCACGGGAAGAAGAAAATAAAGAAATTGGCAACGGTGAGTTTGATGTTTTGTCCAAACCTTTATGATATTACTATGTGGAATTTACGTTTGTTTTCCTTTCAGGTCTCCCCCACTCCCATTCTTTCCCTAAATGGACAAAATCTGCAAAAGAAAACCCTTCTTTAGGAATAATTACCAAACCGTTTTCTGTTCAGATACTTCTTTTCCGTATCTGCTCCCTATAGGGAGATGAAGAGCACCTTGAGATAATAGCGAGAACTGTTGGGTATTTAGGGGGATTTTTTGGTCAATTAAAAACTAATCCCCAGTGTAAATGGGATAGAATTTCAATGGACCAGGAGTTACAAGACCTGGGCTTCTAATTCTAATTCTACCATTTATGGGTAAATGTGACCATGGATAAGTCACAGAGCTGTAAGATTGTCATGTCCATGAGAGTAGTGTGTTCGTCCATTTTGGTCATTGTTGAATCCCCATCCCTAGCCCTACGCCTGCCACATAGTTAGACAATAAATATTTGTTCAGTTTGTTGAGTGAATAAATGAATGACTTTTCTGGAAAAACACAACAAAACAACTAATCCCTGTGTGATCTGAATATAACAATAGAGTTGGGAACCCGAGAGGGAAAAATGTGGTTGCCCTCATAGTTCAGAGGAGGCAAGAATGACTGAAGTAGTCTGGAAACAAGTTTCCCATGCTAGGGTTGTGTTGGGAGGCTAGAAAGTTGATGGGAAGAAATGGGCTCAAAGAGAGTGCTTTAGAGAGTTCTTCCCGTTGTTTCTCTTCCAGAAAAACAGTTCATCTCTGAGTCTCTCTGGAAAGCAATACCCAGAAACACAGTCGAGAATTCCTGTGCCTCCCCCGACACCAGTACCATTGTCTGAGCAATTAAGTCCAGACTTCATACCTTTCTGGTCCCCACCGGACACGTTACCTCAGGACCTACTGGTGGAGTAAGTACCTATATGTAGATCGGTGGGAGAACCAGAGCACCTGCTTCTCGTTGAGGCTGAGAAGGGTCTAAGCATGTGCTCTTTCTTAGTAGGGCTGGAAGAAAACTGTCACTGTTTATTGAATTCTTAGACTTACCAGCAGGCAGTGATGACAGTAATAACCACCACCATTTATCAAGCACTTACCATCTGCCAGGCCCTGTGCTAAGCACATTACATGTACTCTCATTTAAACCTCCACTAGGAGGTAGGCACTATTACTTTCTTCTTTTTATAGATGAGTTATGAATAAGTGGGAGGCAGAATGGTATATGTGGTTTGGAGTGAGATGACCTTTGCGTTTTATATTGAAACTTAACTGGTATTGTGAATTTTGGTAATTTATTTAGCCTCCTTAGGCTTCATTTTCTTCATTTGCAAAATGGGAATAATAATACCTGTCCTCGGGGTGTTGTAAGGATTCGGTGGTATAAAGCACATGAGCCTGACATAGAGTAAACACTTAATCTAATAAATATAGCTATGATTATCACAGTTGCATCTGAAAGGTGTTACCAAATGAGCACCTGTTGGTACAGGCCTTTTCTGACCCAAAGTGAAAGGTTGTTCTAATTTGGAGCCCTTTCCATCTCCTTCTCCTTAGCCACACTGTCTGAGAAGCGCTATTGCTGACCGTCTGGCTGTCTCTGTCCCCTTCAGACTTCTGTCAGATGGAGAGAAAACCATGCCCTGTCCAGAGATGAAGATACAGTTGACTATGATGAAAAAGAATCTTCCCCTGGAAAAAAAACAGCCTAACAGTGCAATTTCTTCTAAGATGTTTCTATCTATACACCGCCTCACTCTGGAGGTAAGAGCTAGGGAGCCTCAGAGGAAGAGGTCTGCATGAAAATCCAAACTTATCTCTCTTCAAGGCCGGCAGAGTTGACTTTCTATTCCTTCTTTCTCTTCTGCCCTTGCACTCTGGACCCAAGCCCCGTAGAAGGCTGGGCTTACAGGTAGGTGAAAGCCAACCTGTGGGGAAGAGTTTAAGGAGAGCAATGTTCTCTGTTTCTTCAGCACTTTGTTCCGCACACCTTTTTCCTTCCTCCACACTCCTGGTACAATGCTACAAAACACTGGGTTCTCAAAATGTGCTTGCTGACTAGATGAATAAATGCATTTGTGGGGAAAGGGAAAGACCTACAGTAGAACTTTTCTTCTTTTTTCTCCAGGAACCAGCATTGCGATATCCTGAACATTTGAAGAAATTGCATTATAACTTGAAGACAGAAGGTAGATTTGCCAGTGCTGCTGGATCTCTAAGTGCTATCTCTAGTGTGCCCAGCCCACAGTTGTCATATGTTAACTTGGTCGGATTCAGTTATATTTATGGCCATAGTCATATGGGGTCACATGTGGAACTCAGGAGACTCTAGTTTCAGGAACCACCCCCCACCCTCTCACTTGGTCCTAATCAGGGAGAGAGTCACCATTGTGGAACAGGGCCCAGCAGGCAGCCCTGTGGGAGGGTGGGGACCGTCAGTGAGAAGAAGGTAGAGCTGGCACTCTGGTCACCAGGTCACAGTAAGCAGCAGCAGCGGCAGCAGCGACAGCAACAGAGGAAGGTGAAAACACCTACTAAGAAACAGGTAGAGTGGCACTGAGGGACCTGTTGGGACTGGGGCAGAAGTGGGCGCAGCCTGGAATGAGCAGGGACGTATGAGAGGTGGGAGGGAGTCTCCCTGTTCTCTGTCTAGTTATCGACATAAAGTTCCTGTCTGGCTGTAGATGTTAAATTCCTTCTTTTAGACTCTAAAAAAATTTCCTTCACTTCCAAAAGTCCTAATTCATTTCTTCCTCATGTGGGTTTTAGGAGGCTAAAAAGAAAGCCAAAAGTGGTCCAGGGAGACAGAGAACTTCCCATAAACAGTCAGTTGCCATCGCTTGTGACCCTCTCTCTGGTAAGGAGAGTATGTGCCTGGTTGGGGTGGAATTCAAGGGGTGGTAGAATCCCAGGACATAGTGTAGGGCACGAAAAGTCCCTGCCTTTTGAAACCTGCTTTTGTCAGACACTCAGAATTCTTCTTGGAATACTTCAGCCTGGCTGGTCTACCATGCATCATTCTTCCATCAAATATTTACTAAGCAAGCCAGCTGGGCCAGATGTCTGCTCGCATGGGGATTTGAGAGATGAGCATGAGTCATTGTCATTTTTCCCTCAGGGTATCCTTTAGAAAACACAGAGTAGTTGGAGGATCAGGAACAGGAGCAAGCCCAGGTTACTACACAGAAGACCCCTGAGGGCCCATTGTCCAGTGAGGCAGGGAAGAGCTGGGGCCCCTCACTAGAACCCAAAAGAGTTCTAAGTAAGAGAGTTCCAAGGCTCCCAGCTTCCCTGGACAAGCTAGAGTGTCTCTGGAGCCTCAGGTTGAAATCAACACGTTGTCTAGCCTCATTCAGGAGGCAGGTAGCCAACTCTTATCAGGCAATCCTTTTCCTCTAGCGCTCGTGCTGGAGACGAGAATGAATATCTCCCCTTTTTAGAGTCCTTATCATGTTCTGAGCTGAGGGATATACTTACTCCTGTCCCTCTGACATTTCTCAGCTTGAGTATAAAATGGGAGGAAGGGAAAAAGAATCCCTCATAACCTTGGAAGATCATTGTGCCTTACTCAGACTGGACATTGATGACTTTAATATGGAAGCAACTGTTTAATCATCAGAATTAACTCTCCTTCCTACAAGGGCCCAGGCGAGATGTTTCCTGAAAAGAATGTTCCCTTTTTGCTCTCCTTCCCATCCCACTTAGCTCTCTGATACCAACTATGTCCTCTAACCTGATAATCTAAGAAGGTTCTTGCCCTTTACATGGGAGGTAGACAGAATCAGGGCTGTGGCCCAGGGCAGGAGGTGACATGTCCAAGGTTAGCATCCTGTCCAGGCTGATCACTACCACTCCCCTAAATTCCATTCTGGTGCCTTTTGTTCCTCTTCCTGATGCCTCCAGTAGGAAGAGTTTTGCTTGCGTGACTGGGTGCCCCTGTGATTCATGTTCTTAGAGTAATGGCCCATCCTCACTAAGCTGAGACAGGCTTATGGAAGAGACGATTTTTGCATTGGATCTTGAATGTGTGTGGGAGTTTTCCTGACAGGAAAAGAATTCCTGGAAGTGGGAATAGCCTGTCCAAAGGCATCTTGGAGGAGCATGAACTGCTCAGTGTTTCCTGAGCAGTTCAGTGTGGATATGGGGTTGGGTATTTAAGGGGAGAGTGGTCGATCAAGCTAAAGAGGTAGGTAGGGGTTTATATAGACTGCAAAGACATTTGACCTTTATCCTCCAGGTCAGTGATGCTCCACTTTGACTGCACACTGAAACCAACTGAGAAGTTTTTAAAACTTTAATACCAGGCTGCTCCCCAGATGTATTAAGTCACAATTTCTGATGTTGAGAACCTCAGTGTTTTTAAATGTTCCCCAGTGAGAACCAGTGCTGGTAGGGAACCCAATAGAAATGCTGTCCTTTAGCACAGTATCTCTAGTGGTAGCTTGGAAGATGTTTGTTTAGAGAAAGGGAGATTGAGAAAGAAAAGAATGCATGTATTTAGAGACTAGTTGGGGAAGCAGCTGATGCAAAAGAAACGTAAAACTAGAGCTTTTTAAAAACTTGCTTGTTTTTCAGAAGGCAATGTGGCTACGTTAGGGATGGTGCAAAAAGATGAGTCACATTCTCGTAAGAGGAGTATTCATAAACTGAAAAGGTAGAGTTAGGGTTTCTTTTGGTGCTATAATGTGCAGGTACCCACACCTTAGGTTTCTTGGAGGAGTCCTGGGTCTTTAAACACACACTTTACCTTAATCTCTAATTCTGTAATAGATATGGTCACAGTTCCAGGTGAACAGAATCTCAAATAGAACTAAGAAGGTCAAACTCCCTTTTACGTGCCACCAAGGTCTTGTCTTGTCCTGGGTGGGGAGTCACTTATAGACAAGGGATCAACTAGAAGCCCAAAAATGGGATATGAAGTGCCAATAGGAGGAGGATTGAACTGGCTTTGTGGTCACTAGGTCACAGAACTCTGCCAGGTCAGAAAAGTGACATGAAGCAGGAGCAGCAGATGGAGCTAGAAGGCGCCACCTTGAAACAGGTGAGAGTGTACCAGGGCCTTGCTAGGACCCAGTTTGAGTTATCTATTACTATATAACAAACCACCACAAAACTTAAGCCATAATGATTTGTTATTTCTTTTTTTTTTTTTTTTGAGACAGAGTCTCACTCTTTTTGCTCGGGCTAGAGAGCCTAGCTCACAGCAACCTCAAACTCCTGGGCTCAAGCAATCCTACTGCCTCAGCCTCCCAAGTAGCTGGGACTACAGGCATGCGCCACCATGCCCGGCTAATTTTTTGTATATATTTTTAGTTGGCCGATTAATTTCTTTCTAATTTTAGTAGAGGCGGGGTCTCGCTCTTGCTCAGGCTGGTCTCGAACTCCTGAGCTCAAACAATCCGCCCACCTCGGCCTCCCAGAGAGCTAGGATTACAGGCGTGAGCCACCGCGCCCGGCCTATGATTTGTTATTTCTAATGATTCTGTGGGTCAACTGGACAGTTATTCTTGTCTTGCTTGCGGTCACTTAATGCAACTGGGCTGGGGCTGTTGGCTAAGTTGCCTGAGTTCTCTTGATGTGGCATGTTTGGGCTTCTTGATGGTATAGTAGTCTCATAAAAGCACTTTCTTAAGGGATGAGCCTAGAATTAAAACAGGGTCACTTATACCACATTTTAGTGGCCCAAAAAAGTCACAGGTCCAGCCCAGATTCAAGAAGGGAGGAAATAGACTCCATCTCTTGATATGAGGAATAGCATGTGCCTATAGGAATGGGAGGAAGTGTTGGCAGCCATCTTTGGAGGCGGTTTGCCCTACCTAAGTAGACCGCTGGGAATGGCGAGAAATAGGTTCTGGCTCCATCTGGGCAGCTTGGAAGGCAAAGAACATGTGATACAAGCTTCTCTTCAGTCCCAGGAGGTGAGTCTTTGGCCTGTCTTAGATATTAATTTCTAGGAGAAAAGCATCTTTTAGAAAAATCCTTTTAGTTTCCTAATGTCTTGATTCAAGTTTCCTTACGCTTACCCCAATGAATTTCAGGATTCCACAGAGACACCAAAGATGGACTACTCTGAGAAGTACATGAATTTCCGCCTCAGTATGGAAAGTAAGTTATTAGGGTGGAGGAACTTTAGTAAGTGACTGAGGATAGGGAGAGCTGAACCTGTGTTGACCAGGATAGTTAGTTTACCTCCCTGAAGGCACAGTCTTCCTTCAGGGAGGTCCTAAAAAATACCCCAGTCTTTTCTGTCCTCCATTTGTCACATGTGCAGTTAATGGTTGGGTCTTCTTTTAGGTCCTGGATTGTCTGAAACAGAACCCACTAAAAAGGACATTAGTGCTCCAGAGGAGCCTGTGCAGGAAGCCCAGGCTTCCATGTCTGGAGAAAGCTGGAACCCTGAGCTCAAACTCCTGAGGATTCTTCAGGCCTCTGACGATGAAGATGAGGATGAGGACAAGGATGAGGATGAGGAGAACCAATCCTTTGGAGCAGAGTGTGGAGTCTCTGGAGGCATAGACTGAAAGCATCACCCAGGGCAGACTTATTCCAGAGCAGGGTGCTTGGCATCCTGAGGACAATGACCTTTGACATAAGGGCAGAAAGGAAAGGGGGTTTCTGCTCTCTGGAGACTTTACTAGGGCCTGAGCTTAGGGATTCTGTTTTCTTTATTCACCTCTACTTGCCTCTAATTGAGGGAGAAAAGCCCCACTCCTTTTAAACTTGGATTATTTCTCTTCCATTAGGGTCAGAATAATTTTAGTGATTAAACACAACTGCTTCTCAATCAAAAGACTCATTTGCTAATTCTGGAAGGAGGGAAGAGATGTTTCTTGGTATCCATTTTCTGTGTCACTTTTATCTCATCTCTGAAGCTGTGAAAGGTTTCCAGTTGTAGGAAGCTGGATTTGGCCTATGGGAACTCCCATGGTACTCTCCTAGATTTTTCTCTTTCTCTAGAAATGGTTTCTTTTAGAGATAGAACCCACAACATTATCGAATAATATTCATTGTGTCCCCATGTATGTGGTACTGGACTTGTATTAATCTAGAAGAATATAAAGCTCCAATTTCTGGAGAACTGAGCCTGCGGGAAAGTTTCAGTGATTCTCGTAGAGACTCAGTTTCAAAGTCTCAAGGGACCTCTAACTCAGTTTTTAGGATTTTTTTATGTTTTAGTTTTTAAAAACTTTTAATATAGTAAAATTTCAAAATTGCATGAACAGAAAGAGAATAATATAATGAAACTTTCACTTACTCAGTACCTTAGATCTGGGCAAGAAAAGCCCTTGTATTGCCCCCATGCTTTAGAAAGTCCTGCTCTGGCCTCCTGGCCATGCTGTTCCTCAAGGGGGGAGAAGTCTGCAGAGCCAAGGAGTTGTATGCCTAGTTGGAGTCTATGTCTCTCCTTCTAGACTTTGTTCCTGGTACCTGGAACCGGGGAATTCCCTGTCCAGTGACCTCATGCCTGCTTCCATGGCCTGTGCAGGCCTCTTTCCTGAGTTCATCCTCCCAAGGGTGAACTGTCTCACCAGTGTGCGCACTGCTGGGTTTGAGGTGGCTAAGAGGAGGCTATTTAGAGAGGGATGTGCCCAGAATTGGACATGTGTACTGGAATATCTCCATGTGTGGCCTTTCCCAATAAGGGTGGGAGCTGGGGATAAGAAGAGAAGGGTGGGCCATGACCTGGGGCTTGTTCTTCTCATGCTGCACGTCAGGTGTGGAACCTCCAGGAATCTGTGAATTTTGAATGAACCTGGCCTTCTGGGTCATGATCAGTATACTGATCAAAGTGGGAGGATAGAACATGTTTTATTTAACAATTTATTATCTTGATTTATAGTTTTTAAATGTTCAGACATGATTAGTAGACCTGCTTTTGTATTCTTATCCTGAGTTCTGCAAAAGTTAGGGTTGGGAATGCACATACCCATCATTTGGGACAGATTTTAAGGAGGGAGACTTTAACCCCACAACTTAGAGATCATTAGTTTGCAGCTTCATCTTAAAGGTGAGTGCAGTGAGGCTCAGAGAGGTGATGCAGTCATCAGCTGGGAATCTGGGTCTCCTAGCGCTAGGTGAGAGATTTTTTTATTACTTCACTCTGCTTCTCTCTGACTTCATTCTGCAGAAACCGTGTTAAGTTATTCATCAGAATGTTTAACCAGACATTGACTTCCTTTCCTTTCTGGTGTGCTACCTGTCTTCCTCTATAATTGATTAGTGTGGGTCCTAGGAATGCTGGCTCCTTTTTTTTTTTTTAAATCTGGAAAACTGGAAACATACAAAAGTTAATGAGTTCCCATGTGTTCATTATCTAACAATTATCAATTTATGGTCAATCTTATTTCATCTGTACCCCCACCCCAAACAAGATTATTTAAAGCAAAGTTCATTTTATCCATAAATATTAAAGTATGCATCTCTAAAAGAAAAGTATTAAAAAAACCACAAAATAATTTCACACCAAAAAATTAATAATAGTTGTTTACTATTGTCAAATATTCAGGCATATTCAAATTTTCCTATCTTATTAATTTTTTATACTGTTGATAACATTTGAATTAGAATTCAAATAAAGTCCATAAATTGCATTTGGTTGATATGCTCTGAAGTTCTTTTTTAATCTATAGGTCCCCCTTTCTCTTTTTTTCCTCTTTTCAACAATTTATTTGTTAAAGAAACTGAGTTGTTTGATCTGTAGTTTCCCACGTTCTGGATTTTGCTGATTGCATCCCCAAGATGTTATTTAACATATTTCTGCATTCTCTTTATTTCCTGCAAACTGTTACTTAGATCTGGAGGCTTGAGCTGGCTTAGGTTTTTGGGGCAAGAAAATGTCATAGATGTCATTATGTACTCCCATTAGGAGGCGCATAATGTCTAGGTGTTTATTCTCTAAGCTTAGGGGCCAATGATGATCCTTGCTTGATTTTTGTATATTGATTTTGTATCCTGCAACCGTACTAAACTTGTTTTTTCGTTCCAGTAGTTTTTAAGTGGATTTCTTAGGATGTGCTATATACATGATTAGGTCATCTACAAATAGGGATATTTTTATTTCTTCTCTTTTAATCTTAATGCTTTTAATTTCTTTTTCTTGCCTGTCTAGTACAGTGTTGAACAGAAGTGATGAGAGTGGACATCCTTGTCTTATTCCTCATCTTAGGGGGAAAGCATTCAGTCTTTCACCATTAAGTATGATGTTAGCTGTGGGTTTCTTATAGAAGCCCTTTATTAAATTGAGTTCCCTTTTATCACTGGTTTGTTGAAGGCTTTTTGGTTTTTTGTTTGGTTTTTTAATGGTGAAAGGGCATTTGGATTTAGTAAATGCTTTTTCTGCATCTATTGTGATGATTATGTATTTTTGTTTTTTTTTCTGTTGCTGCATTATATTACATCAATTGATTTTTGGATGTTAAAGCAACCTGCCTTCCTGGGATAAATCCTACTTGATCATGGTGTACAATTATTTTTATATGTTGTTAGATTTGGTTTGCTAGGATTTTTTGCATCTATACTATAAGAGAGAGTGCTGTATAGTTTTCCTGTGATGTCTTTGTTTGGTTTTGGTATCATAGCCTCATGGAATGAGTTGGGAAGTGTTCCCTCCTCTCCTATTTTTTGGAAGAGTCTGTGAAGAGTGGGTATTAATTCTTTAAATGTTTGGTAGAATTTACCAGTAAAGCAATCTGGGGCTGGGCTTTTCTTTGTAGGTAGTGTCTTGATAACTAATTCAATTTTTTTATTGTTATAAGTCTATTCAGATTGCTTATTTCTTCTTGAGTCAGTTTCTGTAGTTTGTGTGTTTCTAGGAATTTGTCCATTTCATCTCTTAGCCTATTTGAAGTATTTCTTATAATCCTTTTTATTTCTGTAAGATTAGTAATGTCTCCTCTTTTGTATATGATTTTGGTAATATAAGTAGTCTTTCTTGGTCAATGAGGTAAAAGTTTGTCAATTTTGCTCATCTTTTCAAAGAAACAGTTTTTGTTTTCATTGATTTTCTCTGTTTTTAAAAATTCTCGATTTCATTAATTTTCACTCTAATCTTTATTTCCTTCCTTTTGCTTGCTTTGGTTGTAGTTTGCCTTCTTTTTCTAATGTCTTAGAGTGGAAGATAGGTTGCTGATTTGATGTCTTTCTTTCTTTTTTAATATGGGCATTTTATAGCTATAAATTTTCCTCTATGCACTGTTTTATCTGTATCCTGTAAGTTTTGATATGTTATGTCCTCATTTTCATTCATCTCAAGTATTTTCTCATTTCTCTTTTGATGATTTCTTTCACCCATTGGTTATTTAGGCATATGTTGTTTAATTTCCACAAATTTGTGAGTTTCCCAAATTTCTCTCTTTTATAACCTCCATCTGTATCTGGGGAAATCTACAA